AATTATAAAAAGACCTGCACATTTGAAACAAAGCTGAAATTTCCCATTTAATCTACCAACCCTTAATAGCCACACCTAGCACTTCGTCACGACTAGCTTAAAACGAAAATTACATTGAGTAAGAAAGCGTTATTCATGGAGATTCAAGAAGAACCCCGCTAAAAAGAATTTTCTTCTATGAAAATGTTTCAATCTAGTTCTGATTAAAAGCCTTCGCAAGGATTCCCAGGAAATCTCAAGTTAAAAAAAAACTTGTACAAGAAGAGAGACCATATATTACTACCGACTACTTTATCACTCTACAAATTCTCAGATCGGCAAAAAATCCGTAAAGTTTCAAATTTTGAAAATTAATTTCGAAGGAGGCCTAAGCGTTTCCGGCTTCGTGTCTTGAGCGGAACCAATGCAACTTATGCTACAGTAATCGCTGTAGATTGCCAGCCTACAAGATTTCATTCCCATTATCAGTCTATAATCTTCGTATTTTTTTTACTCTGTCTGGGTTTTGTGCGTATTTATGTAAATTTAAAGTCAATTGTTCTGTTCTCGAGGTAATCCCTCCATCAATCGATTGTAGCAAGTTGACAAGAAATTCCTTTTATCATGAGCCTAATTATATTGTGAATGATGTATCAGGAAAACTTTATGATCTGAGCTTTTTAGCAAATTTTCAGGGTACCAAAATGAAGTTCAACCCCGCGGTTTCCAGCGACTCAGGCAAGAACCGTAAGCAGCATTTTAATGCGCCTTCCCATGAGCGTAGACGAATCATGTCAGCTCCACTCACAAAGGAGCTTCGAGTGAAGCACGGAATCCGATCCATTCCTATTCGGTAAGCTTTGAAGATTCTTAATCGCCCATCTACCGAGTATAGATTCTTTTAATTTCTATAATGACTGTAAGGGAAGGCGGCGATGACAGTTCAGTGTATTGGGATAACATACATACTCTTCGATACGTATTATTGATGATTCCAAAAATACTTGCAAGTTCATAGAAGTTCTTTCTTGAGTAATCTATACTTTTGAAGAAGATCCCTGAGATTTTAGGTTAAGCTTCTTTAGAAAAATTCAAGGAGGGGTCGCGCACGTTCCTCAGCAATTATTTCTTGCATAATGTTATCTAAGAAGTTGTTACGCGTACAAAAAGACAGATTTAGAGACAAAGTTTGAAGCTTTGTAAAAATTAAACAACTCTTTGAATTTGCCTACACAGCATGAATCTGATTTCGCATGTTTAAGTGTTGACGATGAAGTTATTGTGATGCGAGGACGTCATCGTGGAAACACTGGTCGTGTAATCCGATGCTACCGTAAAAAGTTCGTCATCCACATTGACAAAATCACCCGTGAGAAAGGCAACGGATCCACTGTGCACATCGGAATCCACCCTTCGAAGGTGAGGTTTGATTAAACTAGTTCCGGTGCACGAAGAAACCCTCAGGTGAGTGCTTGGTGCTCATTTGATTTTCTTCTCTTCCCAGGATTTTCAGAGGTATATCGAATATTTAGCTCTCTTATCATGATACAGGTTAAGTCATTAACATTTCAAATGTATTCCTGAAGTGTTAATACCTTCAAAACTACCAATAGTCAGAATTTGTCAGAAAATCAAGACCAGCATCTTTTATAGTTTAACATCTCTAGGTGGCCCTCACGAAGCTGAAGCTTGACAAGGATCGTCGCGACCTCGTAGAAAGAAAGGCCGCTGGACGCGCAAAGGCCCTCGGAGTGCTTAAGGGAAAGCACACTGAGGAGAGCGTTGCATAAAATGTTCGTTAAATGTGTTGTTATTGTTTGTTGTTCAATAAAGATATGAACAGAATGTGTTGCGAACGATACCTTTTTATCTCCAGTGTAAAGCATCTATCACCCTATCTCTTTATCTGCTCAATCGGGTTGAAGTATCAAGGGAGTTTAGATTTCAAGGATACTTAATCAATGAACGCTTTTACAAATACGCAGTGTTAAGTGAAGGCTCCTATAATGCTTTTATTGACGCGAATAATTCTTAGCGTTTTCATATAATTTCAAAGTCTCTTATGAATCCTCGAGCAGTAGTTGGTGTTCTGTGGAACAATATTTGTAGCGACCTCTTTTCATCTTTCTAACAAAAACAGCTTCTACATGTGGCTAATTTCTAAACTAGAGCATCGCCGCTACAGTTACAGTCTAGGCAAAAACTACAGGTTACGCTGCCTAGAAAAAGTTTCTCAATAATACTTCGATTCAAGGGAAGAGCCATAAAGAGGCCATGGAGGCGGGTCTCCCGATCCAAGTTAAGGTTGGCATGCCGCGGACGAGTTTTGCTAGAAGAGAGTTGCCACTTCCGAAGAAATAGTATTAATTATTCAAAGTCCTCCTTATTTCAAATACATGAATTCCATTTCATAATGTGCTTTAGATTTTCCAGAACCTGACATTTTATGCGTAGCAAATGTTTTTTTCCTATTAAACGTCGGTCCTCGTATAGATTAAGGGATTTTTTTTTATCATTGTAAAGAGATAACATAAAGTTGTGAAGTGAAAACTTGATTGAGGATTAGAAAGATAACGAAATTAACTAGGATTTTCAGTACTGCAGTAAGATAAAGTTGCATTTCACTGGGATCGATATTAGCACTAGTCCTGTTTGATATGCAACAATTTCTGGCAAAATGTGATCACTATTTTTGCTAGTAAGTCTGGGTTTTATTACTGTCTCGCTAACTTGCTAAATGGGTACTGGGATGTCATATTCTTGAATTGTTGATTTTATAGAACCAAAGTAGTGAGCGCTATGAGCCGCTTATGGTTTTACATAAAAATGAGTAACTCTGATCTGGCACTGTTTTGCTACTATAGGAAGAATGTGTTAAATTGACTAGATTATAAATTTCCACAACTTGTTATCGAAAATTAGACGTAACT